AAGCAAGAAGATGGTAGAAAGAAACCAAGGAAAGGAGCAATATAAAAGAAAAGATTAAGAAAAGGGCTTAGAAGAGCCTTTACGACCATGCCAAGTCTTGCATGTCCGTGCAGGAGTGCTCCAGCAACATAAGAGCTTCTACCTTACCATGCACGCCGTGCAAGATACCAAGCACGTCCGTGCAGATATCTGCACGACCATGCAGGAATGCTCCAGCAAGTAAGAACCTTCTATCAAGGCCTGCAAGATTGTGCTTTTATTGGCACGTCCGTGCAAAAGAGGTTGTACGTCCGTGTCTTAATTGGCACGCCCATATATAATTTCCAGCCCAAACAGTAGCTACTGCCATGCCCTGCACGGCCGTGCATAAGGCAGCACGTCCGTGCCGACCTGTAGTTGAGCCCGATTCTTATTTTCTCCGTCCTCTTTATTTTGGGGTCTTATAAATACCCCCTTTGAGCTCATTTGTACGGAACATCAATGTTTTTAGAGCTTTCTCTTAGTCTTACAATCCTAGAACATTAAATCTCGAATCATTAGTTAGATTTTAATTATTAGCTTGGAAATATTAAACTTCAATCATTGTAGAAGACAAGTTCCACCATTGTTACTCTTGGTGCTGATAACGTGTTAAATATCAAAGAAAATAATGAGAGATATCAGAGGAAATTTTATATGTATTCTCATTCCATCTAATACGGGATATTTATACATGTATATTATCTAGGGTTCCATCATCGGATAAAATCAAATACCCAACTTTAGAATATTCTAGATAATACATAGGATAATAGTCATCCACATTTAATATTTCATAACACTCCCCCTTGGATGACTATAAAACGATAACTAAAATTTACTAAAAAAAAACCCGTACAAAATAATTTATAATGCGCATAAGATGCTGCCTCGTTAAAAACCTTACCAGGAAACCCAGTGGGAAAAACCATGGTTAAGGAAAAAAGAGTGCAGCGCGCATTAACTCCCTCTCATGACTACATCACTTGAGATCTTTAAGACGACGCAATCCAATGCCGTAAGCTAACTTTTTGAATGTGGCGGTTGGGAGCGCCTTAGTAAACAAATTTTCCAAGTTCTCACTCGAGCGAATCTTAAGGACTTTTATGTCACCATTTTTCTGTAGAGCATGAGTGTAGAAGAATTTTGGTAAAATGTGCTTTGTTCGGTCACCTTTGATATACCCTTCCTTAAGCTGGGCGATGCATGCTGCATTATCCTCATATACAGTTGTTGGAACTTCTTACTCGGAGTTTATGCCACAATCTGTCTGTATATGTTGAATTACAGACCTTAACCATACACATTCACGACTAGCCTCATGGATTGCCAAAATTTCTGCATTGTTAGAAGAAGTAGCTGTAATTGTTTGTTTCATAGAACGCCAAGAAATAGAAGTACCTCCACACATAAACACATATCCAGTTTGTGATCTAGCATTATGAGGATCAGAAATATACCCTGCATCTGCAAAACCAATCAAACCTTCTTTGGATATGTTAGAAAAAAATTAACCCATATATTTCATACCTTGAAGGTAACGAAGTACATGCTTAACCCCATTCCAATGACTTCGGGTGGGGCATGAGCTAAATCTTGCTAACAAATTTACTGAAAATGATATGTCGGGCCGTGTATGACTAGCAAGATACATTAATGCCCCTATTGCACTTAAATATGGTACTTCAGGACCAAGAATTTCTTCATCATTCTCCCGAGGTCGGAAGGGATCTTTTTCTACATCAAGTGCTCTAACAACCATATGGCTACTCAGTGGATGTGCTGTATCCATAGAGAATCTTTTAAGAATCTTTTCTATGTATGTTGACTGGTGCACAAGGATCCATTCTTTAGATGTTCAATTTGTAACCCTAAGCAAAATTTAGTTTTTCCAAGATCTTTCATTTCAAATTCTTTATTTAAGCACTCCATTGTTATTGAAATCACTTCAGGAGTTCCAATAATATTTAAATCATCAATATATACTGCAATTATGACATATCCTGATAAAAATCTCTTTATCAAAATTCATGGGCATATAGGGTCATTCTTATACCCTTCTTTCAACAAGTACTCACTTAGTCGATTATACCACATGCGCCCTGATTGTTTCAATCCATATAGAGATCTATTCAATTTTATTGAGTACTGTTCTCGAGAACTTCCATTTGCTGCTTCTGGCAGTTTAAATCCTTCTGGGAGTTTCATGTATATGTCATTATCCAGTGGGCCATATAAGTAAGCCGTGACTACATCCATCAAGCATAAATCAAGTCCGTCTCTTATTGCCAGACTGATTAGAAATCTAAAAGTAGTTGCATCCACCACGGGAGAGTATGTCTCTTCATAATCAATACCGGGTCTTTGTGAGAATCCTTGTGCAACTAATCGGGCCTTGTATCTTACAATATCACCATTTTCATTTCTTTTTCGTACAAAGACCCATTTATATCCCACTGGTATTACACCTTCAGGTGTACGGACTACAGGTCCAAATACTATTCTTTTTTCAAGAGATTTCAATTCAGTTTCAATTGCTTCTTTCCATTTTTGCCAATCACTTCTTTGTCTCCATTCATCAATGGACTTTGGCTCATGATCCTCATCATCATTTATGACATCAAATGCTACATTGCATGCAAAAACATCATCGACGTTGATTTGGTTTCGGTTCCATGTAATTCCAGACATGATAAAATTTGTTGAAATTTCTTCATTGTCAGGTACCTGAATATTCTTTTCCATCATGTCTAAGGTCTCTTTTGGAGATCCTTTAAAATTTATAGCTTCCTTGGTCTGGCCATTGTCAATGGTTGCTCCTTTTCTCTTCCGAGGGTTTTTATCTTTGGAACCGATGGGTCTACCACGCTTCAGGCGTGTTTTAAAATCGTTTGCGACTTGGGCTTGTCCTTCTGGGACATCAATATTAATCGGAGCATTTTCAGCTGGTATATGTGACTTTGTCACTTTCTTTGGGTCAGTAAATGAGTGTGGCAATTGATTTGCTAAGTTTTGTAAATGAATTATCTTTTGGACTTCCAATTCACATTATTTAGTACGAGGATCTAGATGAGATAATGATAATTCATTCCAACTGATTTCCTTTTGCAGCTGTTTATTTTCTCCCCCTAATGTTGGAAAAACTGATTCATCAAAACGGCAATCTGCAAAACGAGCCGTAAATAAATCTCCTGTCGTTGGCTCTAGGCACTTAATTATCGATGGAGATTCATATCCAACATATATCCCTAGTCTTCTTTGAGGGCCCATTTTAGTGCGTTGTGGTGGAGCAATTGGAACATATACTGCACATCCAAATATTCTCAAATGGGATACATTTGGTTCCTGACCAAAAACCAATTGTGATGGGGAGAATTTATGAAGACTTGTTGGCCTGATGCGAATTAGTGTTGCTGCATGTAATATAGCATGCCCCCAAGCAGATATTGGGAGCTTAGATTTCATAAGTAATGGTCTAGCAATCAATTGTAAACGTTTAATTAACGATTCCGCAAGACCATTTTGTGTGTGACCATGTGCTACAGGATGTGCAACACTAATCCCGATTGACATGAAATATTCATCAAAGGCCTGGGATGTGAATTCACCAGCATTATCAAGACGAATAGCTTTAATAGGAAAGTCTGGAAAATGTGCTCGTAATCTGATCAACTGAGCAAGTAGTCTCGCAAACGCCAGGTTGCGAGTTGATAACAATTATACGTGTGACCATCTAGTTGATGCATCTATTAAAACCATGAAATTTCTAAATGGCCCACACGGAGAATGAATTGGTCCACATATATCCCCTTGTATACGTTCTAGAAAAGTAATTGATTCGGAATTTATTTTAGCTGGTGATGGCCGGAGTATTAACTTGCCTATTGAGCAAGCATCACATGAAAAATTATTATGAAAAATCTACTGGCTCTTCAATGAGTGTCCACATGAATTTTCGATTATTTTTCGCATCATTATTGAACCGGGATGGCCTAACCGGTCGTGCCAAACTTTGAAGTCATCAGTAAACTTCTGGTTTACTATAGCATGTGATTCAATTGTATCGATTTTTGTATAGTACAAACCAGTGGAGAATGTAGGTAATTTCTCCATAATAAGTTTTTTGCCTTGAGTTATACTTGTGATTTGAAGGAATTCATTATTTCCTTCACTAATTGTCTCATTATGATATCCATTTTTTAGAATATCTTTAAAACTTAGTAAATTTCTTTGAGACTTAGGGGAGTATAATGCATCAATAATTTCCAATTTTGTTCCCCCTGGCAATAATACATTTGCTCTTCTGGAGCCTTCTATAATTCTTGTACTACCTGATATAGTACTCACACTCATCTCTTTCATCACCAATTGTGAAAAATATTTCTTATCTTTAAGTATGGTGTGAGTGGTAGCACTATCAACTAGACATAAATCTTCACCATTGGTTGATGATTGAGCTCTAAAGGGATACATATTCTAATAGAATTAAAGGAACTAAAATAAGATTCACTAAATCAAATAACTTAAATTAAATAATGAAATATGCGAAACATAAAATGTCCAAAAACATAAAATTGTCCAAAAACAAATATTCCATAAAACATAAAGTCATAGTACTACAATAAAATTCTATAATAAATGCAAGCTAATTAACAGAGTTTATTCGCCAATGGGACATAATTTATTCAATTATTTTCTTCAGGATTAGGAAAGAAATCAGCCGCTTCCTGGTGAGTTGTATCACCGTAATCAAAATCACCTTCGCCATCCTCATACACCAAATTTGTCTCCACTTTCTTTCCTTTCTGTTTGATTGATTGTTGATAAAGGTCTACTAGATGTTTTGGTGTGCGACACACACGAGATCAATGACCTTTTCCTCCACAACGGTAGCATATATTTTCATTTTTAACCTTCTCATTCTTATTTCCATTTTTATTGTCTCACTTCTGGTGAGAGTATGAGTTCCTAAAATGACCACCTCAACCACGATCATGTCCACGTCCGCGGCCGCGACCAAGACCTCGACCACGACTGCTAGCGTGATCTCTAGCCTTTTGCTCTTTTCCAGTATGGGATGTCGCATTCGCTTCAGGGAATGGAGTAGAGCCAGTTGGGCGTGATCCATGATTTTTCATTAATAGTTCATTATTTTTCTCAGCCACAAGGAGACAAGATATCAATTCAGAATATTTTGTAAAACCCTTTTCACGGTATTGTGTCTGCAGGACAACATTATTTGCATGAAATGTAGAGTATGTTTTTTCTAACATTTCTGCATCCGTGATTTTCTCTCCACATAATTTCAATTGTGATGTAATTTTAAACATGGCTGAGTTATATTCACTCACAGACTTAAAGTCTTGTAATCTTAAATGTAACCAGTCATAACGAGCTTTTGGTAATATCACAGTTTTCTGGTGGTCATACCTTTCCTTTAGATTACTCCAAAGGACTTGTGGATCTTTAACAGTCAAGTACTCAGTCTTAAGGTCTTCATGAAGGTGATGGCGAAGGAATATCATAGCTTTAGCCTTATCTTGGCTTGTTGCAGTATTATTTTCTTTAATAGTATCACCAAGTCCCTTTGCATCTAAGTGTATTTCAGCATCTAACACAAAAGACAGATAGTTGTTTCCAGTAATATCAAGAACAACAAATTCGAGTTTTACAAGGTTTGACATGATTCACTGATATATAAAACAATATTATAAATTAGGAACTAAGATGATATAATAAATACTCATAATTCTACTATCAATTTTCATATATCACATTTTTCAATAAGTTTAACCACCCTTTCAGTTTTGAAACACAGAGTAAGATTATAAGCATTTTAGTAAGAAGGATAAGCAGCTTGCACTCATTTTTACTCATTATATTCAGTACAATTGAATAAAAGTTAGTACCCCTATAATGATGTGTAATACACTAATACATAATTTTAATTGTTTTACTAAAGGCATTCTGTTACATCACAGTAATTATACAAAATGTAATGTTGGGGTGTATACTTCCTGTGTGTGTATGTATCCTCCTAGTTTGAGGTGACAAATCACTTTTATTGTAAAAGAAAATAATTAACAGAAAAGTTTAAGATAATAGTGCATTTACATTATAGATCAATTATTGAACAACATCTTTTATGCTACCAAAACTTAGTTCGCTCAAAACTATTAGATCCTGTTTAATGTATGTTAGAGTAGATTTAAACCAACATAGTCCAATTATTCACTTCTAAGGGTCAACATAAGACACCTTGCACTGCTCATTCAGCACCCATTTACAAAGTTGAAATTGTCAGCCTACAACGGAAATAGCCTAACCACAATCCTCACAATTTCTTTACACATTATTTTCTTTACAAGAATTAACTAATTCTTATCTTTCAGATTAAACCACCCCATCAGCTTAAAACTTGTGACAATATTTGATTAGTAATGATACATGGCTTCAGGATTTATTTAGCTATTGTCTTCCAAGTTTCTCAGACAACATAAGTCCGCATCAGTCAAAACACATACAGAAAAAAAAAATTCCTTTCCAAAAAGATATGAGAAATATATTTTATGCTCATATTTAACAAATACCCATTTTTATCCTTTCAATCCAATCAAAGATAATCTTCTACTATATTACACCAAATTCCCGTAATTAAAACACAATTAAGAGTAACGATAAGAAATATACCCTCAACGCGTGCTTCGCTCTTACAACGAGCTCTTACTTCAACCTAGATAATGCGAGGCCTCCGATGGGATCGTACCCTCGAACCCAAACCGATCGTCCTAAGCCTCGAAGGTTAGTCGAGGCCCGGACAAAATATAAACTTGGAGTTTTACGAATTTCAAGGTATGCTCAACAATGGAGTTTCCTTTACTATTCAACTCAAGTGTGTTCTTTCCCAAATACCTGAGCCTTGGTATTTATAGGGAAATGAACCCTTGGATTTCATTCCCCAACTAATGCGGGAGAATGAATAAAATTGATAATTTATTTAATTCTGAATTAAAAAATTAATCAAGTCAATCACAATGCAATAAGTGTGAAGGGGAGAGAGAAAGTTAAATGAGGACCAAGAGTATGTGGGGGAACCATTGCCTTGCTCCCCAAGGCTTTGCCCAAGGCTTGAGCTAGTGCTTGCGATGGTGAGCTGTACGAAGGTTGCGATTGTGCGATAGCCCTAAGCATTCACACAGGCACACACACGCAAGTGCCTAGCATTGCGATGGTGTTGTGCTTGTGCGATAGGCTGTGATAGCACCTAGGGCTCGCCTAGCACACAAATGGTGCGCCTAGGCTTGTGATTAGCTAGCCTAGCCTAGTATTTCACGTGGCTAGGCCAATGTGATGTTACGGCTATGCTCGTACTTGTTGCTTGTGATTTTTGGACGCTCGTTCTCGACGCCCTAGGCTCCAACGTCTGTGTTCGTAAAACTCCGACGACTCATTAAATCATTCGGATTTATTCGTCGTCTCGGATCGGTTGTTCAATTGGGTTCGACTCGAAGGGTTCAGTGAAGATTAAGCCGTAATATTAATTATACCTTAATATTACTGATCGGAAGCGGCCTCCACCTAGGCATTCCGATCACTTGACCTTACTGAAGATTTAGCTCTGTAATAATTCTGAACCCTCTATCAGAATAATACACTTGTTGGAAGGACACCATTCCTTTCAATCTCCCACTTGTCCTTTCGAACAAGTGTGCATACAGTGTATAGCCCATTTCCTATGTCCATTAATGTCTTTTCGTGAACTATGAGGTAAGATTCATCGTCATCCTCATTTTTTTTAGAAGTGTTTCTCGATCTCCGAGTTCGACTGTCAATAAGCAGATGATTTCTGAAATCCATCTGAGCACGACCATGCACTTTTACAGTCTCGCTCTTCGAGCGGCCTTGTAAACAACAAAGACATGTTCCCTATTGTTAATAGGGGTACATTCCCAGTCTTGCATCGTAAGTTTCTCTTACTAAGAGGACCTAATCTCTTGAGTGTTCCCGTTATGATCCCCAAGTACGGCAGACGTTAGGCAACATTAAAGAGACTAGTACTCAAACAAGAAAACTTCACAATTTTTGCATAAATATTAATTACTCCGTTATTGAATGGTTTCAATACAGTGTCTTACATTAAAACATCACGTTTAATTAAAACACATGTACAGGGAGTTTCAAAGCCATTCTCCAACGTGCTTGATTCCCATTGCCTCAATGTGCTTGTTGTGTTTCACTTAAGGCAGAGGTTTAGTTAAAGGATCAGCCACATCATCATCCGTGCTGATATTGCAAATTCTTGTTTCACCTTCGGATTTCTATTCCCTAATCATGTGAAATCGCCTTTGGACATGTTTGACCTTCTAGTGCACTCTTGGCTATCTAGCCTGAGAGATATATCAGACCCTTGATGGAGGGTACAACACCAAGCTCCCTGATGAACTTGCGAATCCAAACAGCCTCCTTAGCGGCTTCTGAAGCAGCCAAGTATTCGGCTTCAGTTGTAGAATCTGCAGTGGTGCTCTGCTTGGCACTCTTCCAAGTAAATGCTCCTCCATTCAGACAAGAATATGTACCCTTACTGTGACTTGAAGTCGTCTAAGTCGATCTGGAAGCTAGCGTCAGTGTAACCTTCAATAACCAATTGTTTGTGGCCACCATAGACCAGGAATTTATCCTTGTTTCTTTTCAGGTACATTAGGATATTCTTGGCCGTAGTCCAATGCGCCTCTCCTTGGTTTGATTGGTTTTGGCTCGTAGCACTCAGGGCATACGATACATCTAGCCTGGTACATATCATGGCATACAAGATCGATCCAATTAGTGAAGCATATGGGATCTGGTTCATTCTCTCTCGCTCAAGAGGTGTCTGTGGACACTGTTTCTTGCTGAGAGTTTAGCCATGGGACATGGATAAATTCCCTCTCTTGGCATTCTCCATGTGGAATCGTGCCAGTACCCTCTCAATATAAGTACTCTGGCTTAATCCAATCATCCTTTTAGATCTATCCCTATAGATCTTGATGCCCAATATGTAATGTGCCTCTCCTAAGTCCTTCATTGAAAAGCACTTTCCCAACAATCCCTTTACGGACTTTAGTAATTTTGTGTTGTTTCCAATGAGCAGTATGTCATCGACATATAGGACTAGGAATGTGAAGTCACTCCCACTGACCTTCTTGTAGACACAAGACTCATCTGGATTCTTGATAAAACCAAACTTGCTGATAGCTTCATCAAATCGCAGATTCCAACTTCTGCTTGCCTACTTCAATCCATAAATGGACTTCTTAAGCTTGCATACCTTTTGCAGCGTTGCTTGGATCAACAAAACCTTCTGGTTGTGTCATGTACACAGTTTCTTCCAAAATCCCATTAAAGAAGGCGATTTTGACATCCATTTTCCATATTTCATAATCAAAATATGCAGCAATCACTAGGATGATCCGGACAAACTTTAGCATTGCAACCGGTGAAAAGGTTTCATCATAGTCGATCCCGTGGCTTTGTCTATAACCTTTCGCCAAAAGTCTAGCCTTGTAAATCGATACATTTCCATCCTAGTCTGTCTTCAATTTGAAGATCCATTTGCAACCAATGGGTGTGTAACCCTCGGGCAAATTCACCAAGTCCCAGACTTGATTTTCAGACATGGAGTCCATCTCGGATTTCATGGCCTTTTGCCATTTAGCAGAGTCGGGGCTCGTCATAGCTTGTTTGTATGTCGCTGGCTCATCTCCATCCATGACAAGGATGTCCTAATCATCGGTTAAGACTATACCTAGGTATCTGTTCGGTTGCGATCTTGGCCGTTGCGAACTACGAAGGGTAATGGGTTGAGCATTTGCATTGTCTGTTTGATTCTGACCAATCTTCTCAGCTGCTTCCAAAGAACTTAGGTTGTCAGTTTTATCAGGTTGACATTGTTTCTCGTCCTCTCGAACTTCATCGAGTTCGATTTTCCTCCCACTTGTCATTTTGGAAAGCTGTTCCTTCTCCAAAAAGACATCATCACGAGCAACAAATACTTTGTTCACGGATTTATTGTAGAAGTAATACCCTTTGGTTTCTTTTGGGTATCCCACAAAGAAACACTTATCCGATTTGTGGTGAAATTTGTCGGAAGTTAATCGTTTGACATATGCTTCGCATCCCCAAATCTTAAGAAAAGACAACCTAGGAGGTTTCTTAGTCCATAATTCATATAAAGTCTTTTCAACAGCTATTAACGGAGCTCGGTTCAGTGTTAGTGCCGCGGTTTGTAGCGCATATCCCTAGAAAGAGATAGGAAGTTCACTAAGACCCATCATTGATCGAACCATATCTAACAAGGTTTGATTCCTCCGTTTGGACACTTCGTTCTATTGAGGAGTTTCGGGAGGTGTCAGCTCTGAAAAAATACCATTTTCTTTCAAGTGATTGTCGAATTTATGGCTCAAATATTCGCCACTTCTTTCTGAAATTCATTGAATTTGTCAAAGCATTTAGATTTATTCGACATTAAGTAGACATAGCCATATCTACTAAAATCGTCGGTGAAAGTGATGAAATATCGGTAACCTTGTCGTGCAGGTGTACTCATTGGTCCACATACATCTGTATGTATTAGACCAAATAAGTCACTAGCCCTTTCTCCCAATTTGGAGAACGGCTGTTTTATCATTTTGCCTAATAGAAATCCTTC